CATTCGAAGAGTGTGGCGCTAGTGCCGTCCACGGCAGACGGGATTGCTAAACGCTGGCATCACCCCCTGCTTCCGAGAGGGATCAGAAAAACGGCACATGTTGAGAGGCCCGGTGCATTTTGTTTCTGTCTTTTTAAAAGGGCCTTTCCTGTTTCGGGCAACTGTGTTTGCGGTGAGTGTGTGTGTATATGAAAGCGTATGTTTGCAAAACAGATGAAACATTTGCGTATAATAGCATTTTCACAGCAGTTTGTAGAAAGGGAGAAACTTATCTTCCACAAGTGATTAGGAGTGGCTTTTCCAGGGTGTCTGCAAAATGACAGATTGTGCAATTTTCAGGAAGGAAAAAAAAAAAGTTTGAAGGGAAAAACCCTACAGGCAATAATATTTTGACCTTGAGAGGAAAAAAAATATGCTAGTTTATGTATAGAAAACAACTCTTCTGCAAAGTTTACATTCAGAAAAATCTTGGTTGCGTGCTCATAAATAGAGAACAGAATTGTTGATTATTGAGGTTAATGTTCTTTTACTAAAGTGAAAATGCTGTATGTAATTAGATTAAGAAGAGATTTCAGAAGGAAGAGTGACAATGTGAGTAATCGTGGAGTCAACCAAGGCACATTTTGATTTTATTAGCTAGCTATTAGAGCCGTCCTCGGCATTTTATGTGTGACGCGAGGCGTCAGGATGTAGCTGTTGAAAGTCATTTGCGTCCGCTGTCTGGGCTAATTGAGCGACAATAATAAAACACTGTTTTTAGATAAACAATGGGTGGCAGAGCTCCACCGGCCCCGGCAGGGAGCGTGTTGATGCCTTTCAAAGAGCGACCGGCTGATCTCACACGCCACAGTCATTTCACAGAGGAAAGTCGTTTAAATCAACTAAATTGAACGCAGTTTTGAAATGGAAATCAGTAATCCCAGTTTGGAGCGGGCCTGGCCTCCTTGTCCACCCGTCTGGCTCCCTCCAAGTCTCATTCAAAGGAAGGAGGCCCCCGAGCCACAGAGATGGCAAGTTAGCATATGAGGGAATAAAATATCAGATGTCATATGTTTTGTGTAGTGTGTGGGTGCAGAACAGGCGGACATGGAAATATCATCATAAACCCCAGCTGCCCGCCCTCTCTGCCTCCCTCCCTCCCGGGCAGAGACAAGACGGGCCCAGGACAGACCGACAAACAGAAGGCTCCAAGGAGCATGTAAGTGGGCAACTGGCTGCTGCCTTCACCCCATAGGAAAGGATTTCTCTTTAGGGGCCTCCCTTCTCCCCAGAATGTGCACCTCCCTTCCCTGTCCCTCTCTGTCCTTCCTTTATTATAAAGCATGCCCAGTGGTGAGCTGCAACTTTGTGTGGCGATTGGAATCTCTGGTCACAGACTACGAAAGGACAGGAACAGGCTGGTGTCTTTCGACTCGCTCTATGTTAGCATAGACTCCCACGACCATGACCACGGGGGCTTTTGCAGCTGGCTGTCAAAGGGTGGCTGGGGCTGTTTCAATGCCACCCTCCTTTCAGCTATTGGCCTTCCCCAAGCCAACTCAAACGACCCCACAACCTAAGTAAAAACAGTGTGCTTAGGAGAGGTTCACTCTGCTCCACAAACTAAATCGCATTTCCCTGACCCCACTGTAAAATTTTGTCGTCACCACCACTGAGCTTTAGGAAGCTGGGTGCAGTCCACTGACGTTTTCATTCAATAATTCTTGCTTGAGGACTTGCTAGGGACCAGGTCCTGTGCCTGTTGCTGGGGAGGTATGTTTGCAAAAGACCAACAAGTGGAGTTTGAAGCCTTAAGAGAGACAGACAAACACAACAGACTGTTGCTCCGTGTTTTGGAGGCCATGCATGGCTTCCCTGTTCGGTGTCCCCAGTCCCAGATCAGCCAGTTGTCTTTTAGGGCTTGCAGGAGAAAAACAAAAATTGTTTTTCCTACTACTCTTCTAGGATCTCCATACGGGACCCTATAAATTAGGCTGACAAAAGACAGAGAAGAGAAAAGCAACCTGAAGTTTATTAGCATATGTACCACGTTTACACATGGGAGCCCCAGAGACGAGTGACCCAGAGGAGTGGTTAGAACTTGGGCTTATACACCGTCTGGGGCTAAGACACAGGAAAGGAGGTTTGGGGCTTCTTGGGGGGGGTGGCAAGTTATGGGAAGGTGTCTAGGAAAAGTATGGTGAACAAGAGTTATTTAGTGGTGTTTGTTCTGCAGGTTTAATTTGGTGCTTTCTGCACTATTGAGAGTTGCGAACAGTCCTCCCCTTCCTGCTACTGGAGAGGCAGACACATGGCTCATCTATAAATGACAGGACAAATATCAATCTCAGGGATGGAATGACTTTCCCTGTAAGTCACTTGCTTTCTCAGCCTCTGACTCTTGGAAGGGAGGGAGTATTTTAGCTTAGACTATTTCAGTTAGGCGGTGTGGAGCCATCTTTATTAGCATCAGCAAGGTCTGCCTGCTAACCTTGATGTTGCATGCTGGTGACTGATCTCCCTTTGGGGCCGGCAACACCTGGCATCCCCCAGGGGAGGACCATGTTTTGTGGGGTCCTGAGCTTATTCGATCTGAGGGGTCATTTTGAAAGAATGGAATTCAAAAATACAAATACAGGGGAGGTACAAGGTGCTCCAAAGACGCTTGTATTAGTGACAGGCCCTGAATCGTGAGCTTCCGTAGCTTCAGGATAAATCCAACCACGCTCATATGGGACACAAGGAGAAGACAGTCAGGACCGTGGGCAGAGGAGTGAGGAGGGAAAAGAAAAGAAGATTAAAATAATAACAGGAAGATTCTAGAACACCCATCTGAAGCTGATTCGATATGACTGGAGCGCAAATTCAGGATGTCTGTGAGTGACTACTACTAGATTACATTTCTTATAAAAATATTTTTTTTTCCAGCTAACAGACTAGACCTGAATCCCTGCTCAGCTCTGAAAATATTCTGAATACTCGTCCCAGTTTTTCTCAATGTGATGTTAACGGTGGACTTCTTGTTATAAAACTCCCGTGTGTAGTCGGGGCCAGCTTTAGTTCAGGTGTGGATCATTCTGAGTGGTCACACTGAACTTGGGCACCCACCAAAAGCCTGTGACGGGGTTCAGAACACGCTGCCCCAAAATATGTCACCTTGGAATTTGAGAAAACAACAGAAGCAAGAAGGTCACTCTTACCTTCCCTTCCCTGTCTCCCCTGCAGCAGATCATAGGACCTGAGGCGAGAGGTGTCCTCTCTGTTCCCATAGGAAAGGAACTAAAGACACAGAGATGCCAAGAAGAATCTGAACACACAGGCCGTGCTAAGTCCCCCAGTTTACTACCATCACATCTTACCCTTTGTCCAATCACAATTCTCCATGACTGTCCACTCTTCATCAAATCTAAGTCTAAAAATACACAGGCTTCCCTGTTTCTTTGGGTCTTCCTTTTTGAAGGCCCCATGTCATGTAAAGTTTATATTAAAGAGATTTGTGTTTCTTCTCTTGTTAATTCCTCTTGTGTTACAGGGGCCTCACCCATGAGCCTGGGATGCATGTGGGAAAGATATTTTTCCTCCCCTACACCTATCTGCCCAGAGCCTGGGGGACAGACAGTTCCTATCGGAGAGGAGGCAGCCATGCCCTGAGAACTCCAGATGTGAGAAGCAAGGAGCAATTCAGACCTGCATTCAGCACATGGGTGCTGATGTGTGACCAAGTCCCCAAGCACGTGTCAGAGACCCTTGAGCCCAGATGTGCTTCACAATTCTGAATTTTTCAGATTTTAGCAAAGCAATATGGGGCATAAACCAAATAACATACAACATCGCTAGAGGGGTCTGAAGCAACATTTTGCGAATCAAACACGATAACGTCTCCGCAGTCCTGTACCAGCAAAATATAGGAATAGTCACACCAAGTGGCATAAACGGAGCCTTACTTCAATTCACGTTTCGCCACCAAAGTGGCTATAAAAGTATTTCTGTTTTCAGAGCCTTTTGGAATTTGGAGTTATGGATGAGGGGTGGTGGACCTGGGCTAGGTTCCGGGCAGGTTCGGACAATGAGGGGGACAGAGCAGGGGTCTGGGGGAGCTGGCGCTCTCCTAAGGGGGTGGCCCCCCAGCCGGGCCACAGGGGGTGCAGGTGTGAGCTCCACAAGGAGAAGGGCGACTATAAAAGGAAGGAAAGCAAAACAATAGAAGCGGCGTTCCATTAAAGCCCTAGAAAACACGAGTGCATAAGCTTGCACGCTTTAGAAAAGTCTCTGATCTCGCAGAGCACGGAGAGCCCTCTCCCCATCACGTCAGCCGTTGGAAGCTCCACTGCTCTGGGGTCCTGAGGGCCACCGTCCCAGTTGTGGTGGGAGGGGTGAGTGTCCACAGTCAGGACGCCCCCCTCCCCCCACCGCTGATGCCCGCCCGACGGAAGCAGACCCCAGCGGAGGGAGACCCGCTCCCAGTGGTGAGGTGCAGCTGCGCGTGTTGGGGTGAGGGAACAAAGAGGTACTGCGGGACAGGTAGCCCGAGCATCTCCTGGCCTGAGAGGGCCTGTAAGGACTGTCAGCAGAGTACACACGTGTGTGTGTGTATGTGTGTATGTGTGTGTATGTATGTGTATACACATATAAACTCTTGAGAGGAAGACTTTCCTTCTACCCATTTCGTTCAAATGGTCAAGGGCCTGCAAATTAATTGACGATGGACAGATTAACAGGAGAAGAGACAAGGTTTGCTTATATGCTTATGTGTGTACGCAAAGTAACTCTTGAGTAACTCAGTGAATATCCAGAGGTAAAGGTTTATATTCAAGTTGAATACACCTTATTTGAAATGCTTGGAACCAGAAGTGTTTTGGATTTCAGACTTTTTTCAGACTTTGGAATATTTGCATATACATAATGAGACATCTTGGGGATAGGACACAAGTCTAAACACAAAATTTATTTATGTTTTATATACACCTTATACACATAGCCTGAAGGCAATTTCATACAGTTTTAAAAATAATTTTGCGGATGAAACAAAGTTTGTGTTATGTTACTTATGCGTGGAATTTTCCACTTGTGGCATCAAGCCAACATTCAAAAAGGCTCTGTTTTAGGGCATTTCAGATTTCAGGGTTTTGAATTAGGAATGCTCAATTCGCACCAATTTAATAAAAAAAAAAGGGGGGGCAGGGGAAGTTTAGGGCTTCAGTGGGAAGCATGGAAGGTTCTGTTGGGTTTTTCCTAAGGCTGATGAGAATGGGCAGTCTGTCTCCTTCCTGGAATTGGCAGGAAACCCCCTCGGAGGGGGGTTGATAGCAGCTGTATTTCCAGAAGGCTCTGCTGTAGTCAGATAAGGAAAGGTCAGATAAGATTGTTAATGTTTTCACCTTAAAATAATCTTTATGCCAAAGTAGTGATCCCTTCAACGCATATAAACATATATACACATGTACACATGCAGATACATATGTGAATATATATATTACAAAAATATACATAAGTCATACAGGTATATATGTGTGTGTATATATACACATATACACAGATCAATAGTGAGGTTTTTAGTGATCAGTCTGATTCTGGAGGACGGTTACAGCATCTTCACCTTACACGCCCACACTGGATCAGCCCCAGATGGGTGTTCTGTACTTACACCACTACTGCCATCACTTCTAAATGTCCCTCTGTTTCTTTTCTCTCACTCTCTTCTGCCCTCTCCCCAGAGCCTGGCCTGCAGTGTGAGGACGAGGAGACGGTGAGGGGTGGAAGAGCGGCGTGTGCATATTGGGGGGTTTGCTTCAGTACAACAGGGGGGCAGCGCTAGGCTCTGAGGTCCACCACGAACATTCCTGGGAATGAGTTGCGTTTGGCTCAAGCTCTCCACCCTCCACGTGGATTTCCCAGGGGGTCAGGAACACCAGCAAGGGAGGGAGGGCTCCTGAGGGGGCGGCGGGCAAGCGCTAGAGAAACCTTGGCTCTCCCGTTTCCTGGGCCCGCACGGGCTGGGAAACTCAGGGGCTAAACTCCCTCATGAAGACAGATCCTCGGTAGAATCTGAGAACCCCTCTGCCTCTCCCTACGTGTATGGCCCCAGCTAACTCTCCCATGGCGATCCCAGAGGTTGCTCTGGGTTTTTCCAGGAATCAGCTTAGGGACATTCCTCTCTCCCTCCTTCTGTCCTCCTTGGGGAGCGCATGTGTGGACCACTGCCCTGCGCCCTGCAGCTCCTCTCTGGTCCCTCGTCGTGCTCCTCCACTGCAGTGTTTCCCACACCTCCCGCGCGGCCACCCCACCCACTGGGGCCCTCTGCGCTTAGCAGGGGTTTCCCTAGCAGAGAAAAGGAAAGAGACTGCCCGCAGGCTGGTTCGTCACACAAGAGAGGGTGCAGATTTGAGAAGGGAAAAGCAGCCCCGGTCAGACTTGTGGCCAAGTCCCCCGTGAGTGTTTTGGTTCTGTCGGCAGACTGCTTCTGCTACTGTTTATCCAGCACAGGGGAGGTGCTTTGAATGGATGTCTTTGCTGACACGGAGCCCTGTGCCTTGTGAATAGGGCGATTACTAAACAATGAAGCTATTACATCAGGAGCGGGAGCTGGCTGGAGCCAACAAATCTCCTACTCCAGGTTTACAGAGCTATAATTATCCAAAGTTTTAAAACACAATGGTATCTGCTGAAAGGGAACATCTGGGAGGGAAGAGGCCATTGCAATTAGAGGAGCGATGCGCATCCCATGGATGGGACGGCTCCACGGCTCCACGAGAACCCAGTGGAGAGTTTCTCAGATGTCACTCAAGCTAACAAATGTGCTGAAAGGTTTCAGCAGAACAAATGTGGGGGGGGACGGGGGGGGGAGGGCTGGGGCAGAGGGCGGGTACAGATCAAGAAGAGAGATCCGTTTTATAAGATCAACTACAAATTGGCTGCAGAAAGCATTCCAGGCTTCTGTCACGAACACTAATCAAGAGAAATAAATGCTTTGTGAGCTTTTTTCCCATATGAAAATAAAAGCTTTTTTTCCAGTTGCCATTACATTTCAAAATAAACTCCCTTAACCTTCAGAGGACCCCGTGTGAAAGAGCGGGCTGGGGGCACGGTGGCGCAGTGGGGAGGTCTGCGGGGCCCTGGAGTGCTACGGGGCTGTGCTGGCACCCCGGCTCACCATAAAGATTAGGGGAAGCCAGTCACTGTGGGAGATTGGAGCCTTGATCCTATAAATAGATGTGGCCCAGATAGTAGCACTGGACTCCGCTTTGCAGATGAAGGTCACAGTGTGTGCCCCATCACAGCGATCTGTCCTAAAATGGGGATGGGCCACATGATCAGGGCTCCTGAGCACTTTTTCAAGACCTACAACCTAAATAAAGGATCTACCCTATGATTCCTTATGTTGGGGGCAGTTCTTTCAGGTAGAAAACTAAAAGAACAGTTCTACAAACAATAACAAAAACAGGCACTAGAATCTCTCGTGCATGTCACTTAGCTGGGAGAATGTTTGCTGTTGTGGGGTGAGCATTTTGTCAGGGGGCAGGGGTCCGTGGTGGGGGGTTATTCCTTCCATTGCCCCTCCTCCCTCCCCATCTGTCTGCGGGGTGTTGCAGCTTCGCACAGGAGCTCTGCTCAGTGCTGGAGGCAGAATCCCTGACATGACATGGGTCCCCCGGGCTGTACGGCAGAATTCACGCTAAGGCAAGACCAGGAAGCTGGCATGTTTCCCTGGATGTCCTCTTCTGGCTTTTGTCCGTCCTCCTGCGTCAGTGGGCTCCCTCCCCACCTTCAGTGCCCTGTTATTCCCCCTTCCGAATGCTTTCCGCATAAGTACACCCAAACACACTCACAGAGCACGTGCCATCTCTAGCTTACTCCAAAGGGGTGAAAAAGTTTAAGTCTCTTCATCAACTTTCCCATAGGTATTTGCATCGTTATTGCTGCAAAAGCAATATTATAGTAACATAAAAAAATTAATAATTAAATATGGTTACCAATTAACCCCACCACCCTAATACAGTTGATTCAGCCCTGAGCCCATTTTTTTTCTCTGAGCCTTCACCTGCCTTTTCTACCCTGCTTTGTGATAGCTATTTGCCTATTTCTAAGTTTTACTGTGAAAGGTAATACTCTAATCAACATGTATTAATAAATCACTTTCACCTTTTGTAAAAGATCTCTCTAAAAATCTTGGATTCTCATGCACAGTACTGTGGACTAATTGTGTCAAAATTCGTACGTTGACGCCTTAACCCCCTGTATTTGGAGATAGGGACGCTAAAGAGGTAATTAAGCTTAAATGCACTCAGAAGGGTGCAGCCCTAATCCAATATGGCTGGTGTCCTTATAAGAGGAGGAAGAGACACCAGAGGCCTCTCTCTCCCTCCCTGTGCACAACAGAGAGACCTCTTGAAGGAACAGAGAAAAGGCAGCCATCTGCAAACCACGGAGAGAGGCCACAGGAGAAACCCAACCTACTGACACCTTGATCGTGGACTTCCAGCCTCCAGAACTGGAAGAAAATGAACTTCTATTGTTTAAGGCCCCTCGTCTGTAATATTTTGTTACAGCAGCCCAAGCAGACAGAGACACACGGCACTGGGGTCGAAAAGCTAGGCGCGAAGAGTAGCCCTGGCCTTCCGGAGCTGGCCTGGCCCTCACAGCTGGCCCACATGGCCTCCCAAACTGGCAGTGGAGCCGGACACACACGAATGTTGTCCAAACCACAGTAACAACCAATTATCTTCCTATCCAGATATAAATAAAAAAATATATATGTATTTTTATATAAATGATATAATAACTGCTCCTGCCTCTTTACAAATTTTAGCTTTAGCCTTGTGCTAGTGACTAGTCTTTTCCCCTTCTAGATAAGATTTATCTAGAAAATTCGATAAAATCTTGAATAGGTAAATGAATAAATCTATGAATCGATAGATAAGTCTTGTCTATTCGTAGATTTACTCTCACTTCCTGACAGTATCCAATCCAAACAAGGGCCCACTTCCTTAAATCCTCCCCCAAAACACCCAGCACAAGACAAAATTCTATCACAAGTCCCTTCTATGGCCTGCTGGGGCAGCCCCATGGCTCCTCACGGGCATTAAACCCAGCGTAGTGTGTTGTACGTGCCTGGTGGTCATTGTCCAGAGGACGTTAACAAAGGTGTGAGCATTTTTATGGTTTTTAATAAGTATTTAGCATTGCTTATCAACAACACTGATCAACTTTTGTTGCTTTCAAACATTTTGGCACTCTGGTCATAACTGGTATGCGCAGCTACCTTCTTCTATTTATTAACCATTCTGTGTTGTCTCTTTGCCTTGACCAAGTACCTCAGCTGGTCATGGTTCTTTGCCTGGTAGAATGACTCAAACCTTCACTCCCAAAGAGTCTGGGCCTTGAGTATCCTGCCTGGCCTGGGTTGTTACAGTGTTCCATTGGCCTTAATCGTGGGGCATGGTAATACTAACAGGTGCCCAGAGGGATCTCTTATATTCCAGACGTCCTCTTCCTCACCTCTGTCACAGAGTAGCAGTTCAATTTCCCCTTGGTAGTTGGGGTCAACCACCCCAGCAAGCACAGCAACTTCCTTCTTTGCCTGTAGATGCAGAGAAGGCATGAGGAGTCCAAAGTGGATGGGTGGCAGTCTTATCCTCCAGTTCAATGGAATCATTGTCGTGTCTTCTGGTGGCAGCAATTTTTCCCCTGGAACTAAGACCTCTGGGCCAGTAGAGCATAAAGTCATGGGAACAGGAAGCACAGTTTTACTAATGGGAAACTAGGGATAATAGTGAGTGGTGCCACTCCCACGTCCACCCCTTGATGACTGGGCCCGTGAGTGCAGGCTGTGGGAGATGCTGACTCTGAGCACATACAGCCTTTAGGAGAACCTTGCCCCAGGCCAGCAAGGTGTCGCCCCCTGGCTGGCACCCAACAGAGTCTTCGAAAGGCCATTCCACGGTTCTATCAAGCCAGCTGCTTTAGGCTCATGGGAACATGGTGAAACCAGTAGATTTCATGAGCAGGGCTCCTTGCTGCACTTCATTTGCTGTGGAGTTCCTTGGTCAGGAGCGATGTTGTGCAGAATACTGTAATCACAGGTAAAGTGTTCTGTAAGTCCACAGATAGTAGTGGTGGAAGAAGCATCGAGTGTAGGGAAGGCAAATCCATATACGGAGTAAATGTCCCTTCCGATAAGGACGAAATGCTGCCCCATCCACGATGAAAATTGTCCACTGTAATCAACCTTCGACCAAGTAGCTGGCTGATCACCCCAGGCAATAGTGCCATTGCATGCAGAGGCTCAGTGCTGTCCCCTGCTGCAGCAGATTGGGCACTCGGCAGTGGCTGTAGCCAGGTTGGCCTTGGTGAGCAGAAGTCCATGTTGCTGAGCCCAGGCACAACCTCCATCCCTGCAACTATGGCCACTGTGTTCATGAGCCCACTGGGCAATGACAGGGTGGCTGGGGAGAAGAGGCTCACTGGTATCCACGGAATGGGTCATGCTGTCCACTTGACTACTGAAATCCTCTTCTGCTGAGGTCACCTTTTGATGAAAATTCACATGAGACACAAATATCTAGATTTTTTTTGTCCATTCAGAGCAGTCTATTCACATATCTCTTCCCCAAATTTCCTTTTCACCAGTTTTCCAATTGTGTTCCCTCCAAGTCCTTGACCATCCAGCCAAGTCATGGCCCACACCCATGAATCTGTCTGCAATCGCTTATCAAGCCATTTCTCCTTCCAAGCAGAGAACAACCAGGTGTGCTGCGCAAACTTCTGCCCCCTGGGAGGAATCCCCTTCACCACTGTCAGGGATGCCCCGGAGGGGGCTGAAGCTGCCCGCTGCCAGCTGGTGCCTGCATACCATGCAGAACCATCTGTAAACCAGGCTCCAAGTTCTTGTTTCCTGTCAACCAATCCTAGGGAACTCCACATGGGGCTGGGAGCGAGAAGGCAGTATAGCAGGAGCGAGGACTGAGGGAATGGGGGCCACCTCTTCACTTAACTTACTTGTGCTTTCAGGGCCTGCTCAGCCCCAGTCACGTGCATACCGTGTCCGTGTGATGACTCAGTGCTGCCGTGCACACCCAGCTGTATGGTCTTTGGGGTCAGATAACACCTGGTTCATGATGCGTAGCTCAGGTCACATGATAACTTGGTGGCCCAAGGTTAAGCATTCAGTCTTCACTACAGCTCAGTAGCAGATTAAGAGCTGTTTCTCAAAAGGAGAGTAGTTATCTGTGGAGGATGACAGGGCTTTGTTCCCGAATCCTAAAGGCCTGGTGCACCTATAGGGACCTACCAGAGACTCCAAACAGCATCCCTATCTGCCACTGACACTTCAAGCACCATCGAATCAGAAGTATCCATGGCTGAATGGCAGCCTGCACCTGTTTCAGAACCTTTTCTTGTTTGGGGGCCCACTCAAAATCAGCAGCTTTTTGGGTCACTTGATAAATGTGTCAGTAACACCTCAAATGAGGAATATGTTGCCTGCAAAATCCATAGAAGCCCACTAGGCATTGTGCCCCTTTCTTGGTTGCACGAGGGGCCTGATACAACTGATCCTTCACCTTAAAAGGGATGTCTCAATAAGCCTCACACCACCGGATCCCTAGAAATTTCACTGAGATAGAATTCTCACTGAATGTTTGTCGAATTTCTTTCCCACCCTCTGATATGCAAATGCCTTGTCAATAAGTCTAAAGTAGCTACTACTTCTTGCTCACTAGGTCCAATCATCACGATGCCATCCATGTCATGAACCAACATGGTGTCTTATGGAAGGGAAAGGCAATCGAGTCCCCTGCAAACTAAACTTTTGCATAGTGCTGGAGAGCTGACATACCCCCGAAGTAGGCCAGTGAAGGCTTATTGCTGGCCTTGCCAGCAGAAAGCGAACTGTTTTTGGTGGCCCTTAGTGACAGATGTGGTGAAAAAGGTGTTTTTCTGATCAATTGTTGCACATCAGGTACCAGGGGATATATTAATTTGCTTGGGCAATGAAACCCCATCTGGTAGAGTAGCTGCAACTGGAGGCACCACTTGGTTAAACTTAGGATGATCCACTGTTGTTCCCCAAGATCCACCTGTCTTTTGCAGAGCCCAGATAGGCAACTTGAGTGGGGATGTGGCAGGAATCACCACCCCTGCATTTTGCAAGTCTCTGATGGGGCCACTAATCCCTTTAATCCCTTCAGGGGTATAGTACTGCTTTTCATTTACTATTAATATTTTGTTAGGCAGGAGCAGTTCTAGTGGCTTCCACTTGGCCTTTCCCACCATAATAGCTCTCAGTCAGGGAGTCAATGTGGGGGACTCTGCCAGCTGCTGAGTCTGCCTACTGCAACTGTTTATTCATTCCAGAACTGGGAAACAACCACAGATGTGTTCAGAGACCCACTGGGCCACTGTGACACAGAACTGAGCTAAAACTCCACTGATCGTCTTACCTCCATAAGCCCTTGCTCCAATTGGAGGGCCATAGAGATCTTCCCAGGCTCCTGGATTCACTGTCAGTTCAGAGCCCATGTCCTATGGAACCCAAAAGGTTTGATTACTTCTTTTTCCTCAATGCACATTTACCCTGGTAAAAGGCTGTAGATCTCTTTGGGGAAAAGTTGGAGAACAGTATTTCGGCAGTGTACCAGGTCCTTCCTCAAAGAGACCCAGCCTCCTCATCATTCAATGGGCTCTGGGTCTGTAAACTGGCTCAAGTCTTGGAATTGATTTAGAGACCCTGGTTCTCTTTTTTTATCATTCAAGTTAGACTTCTGTTTACTAGAACTTTTCTGTTTACGCAGATCAAGTAAGAATTTAGTAGGCTTCCTATCTATTTCATTTCTAGGAGCACCATGATCAACTAGCCAATGCCAATAAACAGTCTAAGTGAGCCAGACTATTCTGATTGCTGATTTGACTCTACCATCCTTCCTGGTAATCACATCCACCTTGCCTTTGGTGGTTGCAAGCTCTTCTACCCCAGGATCCAGTCACTCCATTGCATTTAAGTTTCCCAATTCAGGGACTGCAGTTTCTGCTTGTAAAGTCTAGCCTACAGAGAAGAGTGACCATAGAACTTTCCAAGGATACAGTAAATTCCCTGACAAATGTATTCCTCATAATTGTGGTGAAGGGCATGTCTTCTGGGCCCTTCCAGGGTGAGTAGTGTAGGTCCTAAATGACAAATCCACACTAACATTTCAATTTCCCTGAGCCTTTGAATCTCATCTTCTGTATTAAAGCAAAGTGGCCTGGCATTTCTAACTCCCTCACCGTGGGTCACCTTTTAGTCTATGTTTCAGCCAACCAAATAAACAACTAGTCCTTTCTAAATGCCTGAACTTCCACATTAAATGCAGAATCTCTGCTTAGTGAGTCCATATCAATACATTCTATCTAATCCAACTTTATGTTCCTTCCACAGTTATCCCATACCCTTAATATCCATTCCCACACATGTTCCTCAGATTTCTATCTGTGTAAATTAGAAAATTCCAGTAGTTCCTCTGAAGTGTAGTATCCTTTCTCATGAATCATACTTGGTACCTTACTTTTGGGGACCTGCCGGGACTTGAGTCTAATTACAGGTCTGGAAGCAAAGAGGGGTGGTAGCAGCGAGTCTTGGGGAAAACCATCGTCTGGCATGGCATTTCCTCAGAGGAAGCTGTTGCAGTTCCCTCGGGCAGTGTAGAGTTAATCCCATCAGATGGGGATAAAGAGGTCACCAACCACTGGCAGTGGGAAGGTAGCTTCCACTAAGGGTGGAGAGAGGCCCCTTCCACTGGCAAAAAAAAAAAAACAAAAAAAGACTTATCTGAATCCAGAGTCTCACTGTCCCCAGTGTCATCAGGGTCTTTCCACATGTTCCCATTCCAACTGTCAAGAGCAAATTCCTTCCTAATCAATGCCCTCACTTTAACAGTAGTCCCCCTACAAGGCTGGGAGTTAAACTTGTGCTGTAATTCAGCCAGTCCCAGGATAAAATCCTGTGTGTGATTTTCAGCAATCTCAGCCCTGCAGCTGTGAGAGATAAGTGTCTCCTTCAGGGCATACATAGAAGATTTCAGGTCATTTATGGGGCAATTCGAATCCCTGAACTCATCATTGTCTTTTCCCACTTTGTCCAATAACATTTGGATCAGCCAGCCAGCCAATCTCATTATACCTGTTAGCTTCCAAAATTTGTTCAAAAGCATCATATACACAGTTACCCAGCTCCTTGCTTCTAATATATTGCTTAGGAATATCCAGTGGTGATATTTTATGTATCTCTCTTGCCAGATCATGCTATGGGCTACCAGTGCTCTGTTTACTACTGAAAATGAAGTCATTCACGTCTTTAAATCTAATAAGATTGGAGATTTCTGATTCCAGAAGCCCTAGAACCAATTCAGAAAACTCATCTTTAACATTCTATTCCTCTAGAACCACTCTAGGTGTGGTGGTGGTTGCATAACATTGCAAATGTACTAAATCCCACTGAATTGTACACTTAAAATGGTTAAAATGTAAATTTTATGTGCATTTTATACAATAAAAAAAATACAGTTACAAAAGAGGAAAAGGAAAAAAATAACGCAGGCCTGAATTAAGGCAGGCAAGTGGCAGAAAGACCCTCAAGTCAGAGTTTAAATCAATAGAAAGTGCTGATCAATTTGATGTCTGAATGAGGGTAAAACTCCGAGTTTTAGAGTTTTAAGAAACAAAATGTGAGTCTAAGGTTTTCTATCTTTAATTCTATAGTAATCTTTCTCTCTTTCTGCATCCCCTTTCAATAGTTGAGTTTCTTTTGGCTTTAGTCAAAAGTCTTTTCAACTTTTGCACCTACAAATCCATGCTAATTTGCACTTTTAACTTAACATTTGTACTGTAATTTTTCTCCCTGGTAAAATTAAAATAAGATAAAATAAGATTCAAGATTAACCTACTTCTTCCAGTATAGTTGTAGGAAATAACATTCATGATCAAAGATTCACAAGCATGCCTTCTACTGTAAATTCTAAATTGTGCCCCAAAATTAGCTTCCGCAGTGCCTCCTGGGTTGTGGTTCAGGCTTGACTCTCCCCTGGATCCCATCTCACCTGAAATCTTCCTTTGGCCTGCTTTTCCAGAAATCACAGGAGTAATGCTAGGTGGTGATTTGAAGTCCTCTGCTTTCTGTTCTTTCTTTCTGCTGCCCAGTGTAAGTGGCTGGAAGCAGTAAGGGGCTAGTGGCAGTTGAAATCCTCTGGTCTTTTCTTCTGACATTCAAGAATCTGCAAAGTGAGCTTGCTGGGAGCGTCCAGTTTTCCCAGCTCAATGTTAGGTGTGCTTTCTGTCTTCAGCACAATTGTTTCCAAATGCCTGTGGGTTGTCTTTTGATTTTCCCCTCCTGAAAAATCTATTAAAAAGGAAAAGATTCTTCACTTCCCCCCACCCCACCTCCAGGCACTGCAGATGGCGATTAACACCCTCTCCAGCCCCTCCCCATAACATCATCAATTTTTTGCCTGCATTGCATCTACTTCACAGCTTGAGACATGCCAAATCACACACGTTCTAAGCACTTGTTGCTAGCAACAAATCTCTCTTCCTCATTGGCCAAGCAGACTATATTTGGAATATCAGCACACCTAACCCTTCCCTGGCCCACTTCCTTTAGCTGAGATGTCTCCAAGCCTCAAAGTAACTTCATCCATGTTTCTTAGGGCTCTGCTTGTCAAAAGAACTGTTTGGATTAACTCTGCAAAACACAGTGGGGAAACTATCAGGTTCTTTCCCATGAACTCCTTTCTCCTCTGCAAAAATGAATATTAGTAATCCCTAGCTTATGGGATAACTGTGAACAATGTATTTAAGGGGATCATCAAAATATTAAACATTGTCTATTTTTAATGGCAATTATGGACCTGGCACATGGTTGGCATTGCATAACTGCCAGGTGTTTCTGATAAGGGAAACCCCCATCTGTTACTTGGTGCATTAGGCACTGGGAGACCCCCACCACTCACCACCACCACTCACAGAAGACCCACCTCAGCATAATACTAACCTGTTTCCTGGCCCATCAACCAGTCTGTTGCCTGGCATCAGCATAACACTAAATCTATTGCCTGGCACATCAACATAATATTAACCTATTACTGGATCAGCTAACCTACACCAGATACCCCACCCCTCGGACCACCCCAACTTAATAAAAGTGGGAAAAATCGGGTAGACGGGGCTCAGAATTGGGTGACGAGGCCCCTCTGAGCCCACCGGTGAAATAAACTTTGACTCTCCGTGTGCCACTCTGTTCATCCGAGGGACACCCCCCCCCCCACTGTAACACTTGCTGTCACATTTCTACTGCTTTTCTCACGTCTCTTTTTCTCTCTCTCTTTTTTTTTTATTGAAGCAAAATTCATATAAACTGAATCATTTTAAAGCGAACAATTCAGTGGTATTTAGTACTTTCACAGTATTGTACAATCACATCTCTATCTAGTTCCAAAATATTTACATCACACCAGAGGAAACCCCATACCCATTAAGCCATCACTCCCCATGTCCCCACCCCCCGCCCCCACAAACAACCACCTACTTCTTCATGGATTTACCTATTTTTGATATTTGATATAAATGGAATTGTACAATACGTTTGACCTTTCATGTCTGGCTTCTTTCACTTAGCATAATGTTTATGAGGTTCATCCACATGGTAGCACGTATTAGTAATTCCATTTCTTTTTAGGGCTGAGTAATATTCCATTGTATGGATATATCACAATTTGTTTGTTTTATTCATCCATTGGTGAACATTTAGGTTGTTTCCACCTTTTGCCTTTTGTGATTAGTGCCACTATAAACACGTATGTTTTTGCTGTACTCAAACATGTATTTGTTTTTTTTCTATTTCTTGTCTGTGTCTCATGTTTTCAGGATCCATAATGATATCCTGTTTTTAAATTCTTGGCATTGTTTATATGTGCCTTGTGTCTAATTTAACTGACCAGTCTTGACAGTAATTTTCCAATTTTATTAGCATTTTAAGGAACCAACCTGTGGTTTTGTGGATCTTGTCTACTTATACATTTGAATTTGTTTTAATTGTTGTCTTCTCTCTGGATTTGCTTCACCACCCTCCTTGTGACTTCTGGAGAGGGCTGCTTACCTGACACTGGTGGGACTCCATCCATTGTCCTACATCCCCTTGCCATTTTTGTGCACACCAGCCGGACTTACAAGGGCTGCACCTGCATCTTGTCAGAGGCTGTCCAGAGGATGCAAGAACTCTCTTAGTCTATGGGCATAGTGGGCTAGAAATGCCTGGGAATTAACACTCTCCCCGGGGGAGCCCTTAACTAAAGACCAAAGGTTGTCAGAGTATAAATACCCTGGCTTCTTGCCCTCTGACTGGGATAATTCAGAAGTATCTTTTACTTACTTTTCTTGAGTTTCCCTTGGTAATTAATGACAATCAAGCTCCAGTCCACTGCTGTGATGGCTGCCTTCAAAACACAGCCTTTATTTTCTGTCTTCTCTTCCCTGTCTCCCTTTCCACCTGCTTCTACCTGCCTTTCTGTCTCCTTGTTATGGGTTGAATTGTGAGGCCCCTGAAATTCAATGTATGAACTCCTCCAAAGGAGGAGTTGAATTCCTAATCCCTCCGGTACCTCAGAATGTGTCTGTGTTTGGAGATAGGTCTTTAAATGGGTGATTAAGTTAAAATGATATTAATGCAACTCCCATTGCAATCAGCATTGAGGGGTGAGATCTTGACCAGATCTTTCAAATCTCTTTCTCTGCTTTGGTGCTTTACAAGAATTTTCTTGGATAAGTTTTATGAGCACAGTGGTGTCCAGTGGTTCCAAAAGATCCATCCAACATTCTGGCCACACAGCTGCTTCACACAGCAAAACCCAGGAGTGTAGGCCTTGAAGCCTGTGGATAAGCAAACCCAACTCATCTCTCACCAGTGGTTCAAAAAAGCCCACCTTATCCATCATCTGAACACACTTGCGGAAGGCTTTAGGAAATGATTTGTTCATAACAGTGAATACTGGATACCATGTTGTGTGGGAAAAGAGGAAACTCAGCAATGACAATGAATCTTTTATCGGAAAAAGAGAAAGACAAAGGCCATGAAATTCTTCTTTGGAGGGTTGTCATTGGGTCGGAAGGGATGCAGTGGTTCTAGGACACGCACAAAAGAATTGGACACACCTGAGAGGACTAAAAACAAGTCCTCAGAGCTAACTGTAGACACACATAGGTTATGTAACTATTGTGCCAGCTTCTGACCAATCAGTCTCCCAGGGATGTGACTTTGAAAACCGAATCCATTGGGGCCTCCACATCACTGTACTTGATCTTCTCTGCAATCTCTGGAGTCTGCTCTGTGTGCAATTGAATGTTTGGGTCAGGTAGAAAACCACACTTAGATGGGATAAGTCTTTGGTTTCTTCCAGGCCTGCAATATGAAGATTCAGATAAGTACCCTGTGGTACCCTTGCCTTCTCTCTCAAGAGTTGGAGCTTTACTTCGATTCTATCCTTGAACAATTTTTGTCTGAGTAGCACATATTTACTGATATTGTCAGTTCAGGTCATTGCAGAATAAATACTTAGATGCTGCATTCTCCCAAAGGCTGAAACTTCTTCCTATGAACATTTTCAGTAGATTTTTTTTTTCAAGGTGAGAAAGTAAGAGATACAAGGGGATTAGCATCAAAGCAAATTTTTTCTTTCTTCTTTTACTTTTATTGATGGGGACATTTCTATCCAGAAAGGTAGGTTCCTTTTTAGTTTATCAGATCGAAAGGAGTTATAGTTCCCCTATTACTGTTTCTTCATTCATAATTTATGTTATAACAAGGGGCCTCGTGCTAGTAGTTATTGATGAAAACAAAAGCTTGTGGCTTCCCGAAAGAAATGCGGAGGCGTGCTCAAGAGAGTCTCATCATGATCATGCCCTCCTGTCTAACGCTTCTATCATCTTTTGAGAGTATTTTCCTTGCTTTTGTATCTGAATTATCTTCATGCTCCCTGGCCACCATTACAAAAGAAAAGGAAAAAAGGAAAAAAAGGTGAAGATGTTAAATGTATTTCTATGATGCTGAGGCAGATCCAGAAATTAAAGTCTTCCCTTCTTCCTATTCCTATTTGCTACCAATTCACTCAGTTTTTTAAGGAAAATAACTCCAGGTTTCAGTAAGCAGCTATAGCATATAACTCCCAGGCTAATGAAGTAGGAGAAATAATCCCTGTGGTGTTTGCCATAGTGGTATTCCTGAACTATATCCATATCTGTTGAGAGATGGAACAAAACAGCCATGTGAAGCCTACAAGTGAGTAAGAAAAATCTAATCATTTGTGGACTATTTGTTGAATGCCTACTATTTTAAAAGCATTGGCTCTTCACTCCGGGGGATGGATAAAACATTAGAGGAGAAAGATAACTATAAAAAAACATAGCAACTGATTGGCTAAGGACTGAAGAGAGGATAGTCAAGGATTCTGTGCTTCAGGTGGTTCCAAAGGCAGAGAGACTACAGATCAATTTCAAAGACAATTGCTCTCCCGCCTTCCAGTGCAACTTCCACCAGGCTCTGCCTTGCCCTTCAGGGACTCATGCTTCACTTACATTTCCAGGAAGAAACCAAAACTGATACTTCCCTAGGAACAGAATGGGAACATGTGTTCTGTGCTAAGCTGAAAGATAGCCTTGTTTAGGGAAAAGACTTGATTTTTCCCATGTTAGGTTAAATATTTTCTGTGGGGCTGTGATGAACACCTCTTGAAAAGTAGAAATCGAAGAGGATGTGTGTGTGTGTGTGTGTGTGTGTGTGTTTGCACGTGCATGGGTGTGCATGTGGCGGTATGTAGGAAGTTTTTTTCTAGAATTAAGTTACAAAGTTTCTTTTCTCACGTAGTAATTTTCATATTTGCTAAATTCTGAATGAATCTAAATTATTTTGTTTAAGAGTTTGTTTTCCTAGTTATTATCAATTTTGTGTTCTAGAAGATTTTGAAAACAAGGTGGATTTTGAACCTAGCCTACTAACTGCCAAGCAATAGTCTTTTAATTGGAAGATGAAAAAGCCAGGAAGTCATTTGCATCAGCATTGACTGGGTCATTAAAATATTCCACACCTAACCCATTTGCAGTGGAAGATTTTTGCACTGTTTTATTTTCTTTGGGGCCATTTAGTATCATGTAATTTGGCCATCTGCATATAGTTTTGGAATCACCATCTCTTAGGATGCTCTTTTCTCTCCTGAGCTGGCAAAACCTTGGGGAATCGCTAGAATAAACTTGACTCTCTAGTGTGTGGATGTGCTTCACAGGGAATCCTTTGTATCCACTGAGTGGCTCCCATCAAAATATCCATGGGAAGTTCACATAACCTCATTTCCCTCTGTTAAAGTCACTGAGTAAAGCACGAGAC